ATCATTGCTCAGAGTTACATTTGGAGAATATGACAACTATTGCAGCATTCGTTGTCCTTAAAACTAAAGTCTATCACTTGGTGCGTTCCTCGAGGTCTTCCTACCAATATAACCAAGTTGTGAAAACAATGTCAAACAACCTCTAGTCATGCATATAAATTGTTCGGTCGGAGTAAAAGATGCTCGAGAAGTTTTGAAAATGCCTTCGGTAGCTTCTTATTGCATTAAATTAGCCTATAATGGATTTTTACTTTTGGAAAGGCGGGGTTATATTACACATACATATATATGTGTGATTTATGTTCGCGTTTAGTTTTTATGTTTAGACTGTATCCTTGATGTTTACTTTCTGAATCTAGGGGAAGTACTCAAGCTTCATTCATGTCCCTATAGACAAAATTATCTCGAACATATGAATTAATAGTGATAAAGTTTTATATTCTAACAGAGCTGGTTAAGATTAAGATTTATGTGAGATGTATTCAACCTATTTTTTTAAGATGACGAAGGACTGGTAGTAGAATATTTTCGTAATGATAGGAGTTGAGCCGACGTTTCCATTGCATTTACATATCTTTGTTTTCCCAAAAGTTCTCATCCATGTGGACTGCAGTTTCGACCTTGCCTAGGCCTCGTGACAATGTGGCCGAGTGGTTAACGTGTCAAGCTCACAGTCTGCACTGTCACGGTTCGACTCCCGTTGAGAATGTTGTTAAGACCTATGAGAGGTCGAAGCTGCAGTCCTCCCTGGATGAGAACAACTTTATGGAGAGCAAGGCTATGTGCCATTCAATGAAAATGTCAGCTCTACTCATATCATTGTGGGAAAATTCTACTACCAGTCCTTCATCACTTTGAACGAAATAGGGTGAATACATCTCTATATATGATTTACTGGTAGTCTCTAAACTGCTTATATACGAAAAAAAGATTAAAATTTGACAGAAAGTATTTGTGAAAATTATACAACTCTAATAAATGCAGCATCTGCTTTATACGAACCACTTTTAATTCTACTATAAGCTTAAGAGTTACAATAGAAGTTGTTTGACCTTATTTTCGCAACTTGGTCATATTGGTAGAAAGACTTAGAGGAACGCACCTTGTCCGCGTTCCATTGTATGCATGATCATCTCCAGAGTAGGACCGTGGGTGTGGTACATTTCCAGACGTTTTCCCGGCATCGTAGTCGGCATCGTCATTGAGTCTCGCCATTCTTAGCATCACGCAACAACTCGTACCAATCTGACCAAGTTGCGAAAACAAAGTCAAACAACTTCTATACACCGAAAGGAGAATGCGACCACACGAAAGGCCACACCATCTTGGTCTTCATACCTTCGATTAAAAGTTACAAGTTTGGGTTTTGGATCAAGACTTAAACTATGTAGGAATGGCAGACCTATAACGCTTTTTTAAAATTATAGGTATCTATATGTTTGACAAATCGAGTCATATCTCAATTTTTACTGGTAAAGTATGTTATTATTTTTCTTCTAGTGGCTACATCTTCCGGTCAGACTAAAACGAATCCTGCACTTCCGTTTAGTAGTGAATCTAAGTCCTGCGCGTCATTTGAAGCTGTATCTCCTGCCTCACCGCTTTCTATGCATTCATCAAAAGTTTGTGTTATATTTTATATTCACTCAAGCAATTACCCAATATCATATTACCATCATCTAAAAATATCAATTGTCTGCAAATGAAATATGGGAAATTTATATTTTTTGTTTTATATGAATGTATAGCGATTTGATAAACTAACTTACTTTATTATCTTCAGAAAGCGCTATATCTTCTAAACACATTCGATATTGACTTATTCATGTTTTTTTTTACATATTTATGAGCCTCATGATTTTTTATTAGTATTAGTTAGTCGCTGCCTTCAGGAGTCTGAGTTATGATTAAGTTACACATTGAATTTCTTTCCAACAAATTTGTCCTCAAAAGTCAAATGTCTATTGACATCAAGATTAACATCAATCTCGAAGTTCCCAATTAATCTAATTTCTGATTGAGGTTGTTTGACCTTGTTTTCGCAACTTAGTCATATTGTTACGAAGACTTAGAGGAACGCACCTAGTCCGGAGTCCATTGTATGCATGATAATTTCCAAAGTCTGACCGTGGATGTGGTACATTCCCAAACGTTTAGCCGGCATCGTCAGTGAGTCTTGCCATTCATATCACTATACTAAAACTTATCAAAGATATAAGTGAAGCAGATACTTTGACCAAATGTGTGCTAAATAGTTGTGTTACCTCTCCTGTCCTGGGCTATTCACCTATACTATATCCTCGTATCACGCTTTCGTTATCACAATTTTTTCCTTGCTTATTTAAATGTAGTATGGTTTGTCCTTTTGAGCTGCTTTCATAAGAACCCTTCACACTCCACGCTGGCGTTTTCACCCTCCTTCACTCTTGTGCTGGGAATGCTGATCAGTGTCATATTGTTATGCAGTCCTCCTTCTCTAGGTCTTAGCAGAGTCTTCATCCTGCCCCGTAGGATCCGTCTGCTATCTCATTTGTTTAGGCATTTTACTCGACTCCTGCCATCCTATCTATGCTCCACGAGGCGTTATTTCCCCATTTTGTGTCTACTAGACTAACTTGAGACTGAAGATGCCCGAGTAATTGTCATGGGAAAGTCTATGCTTATGGACCACGTATATGGTAAAACAGGCCTACTTTCAGCAAACTAGCTCTAGTCTCCGCCGTGTCTATCGTGTTTCTATCTGTCTCTTGTCTGCCAAGTCACAACGTTGTGGTTCAACATTGAACCTAATCAAAGCAAGCAGTACCACAACATTTGTGGGTTGACACACAAGATACTAGGGCATAGCAAGTCAAAGACTTGGTATTAGAGATATAAACAAGATATACCTTGTAAGTAATATTGGACCTGCACAGCGAATAACGAGTTTGGCTCTTAATCTATACACCCAATTTTCTAATCCCACAGTGTTAATAAGACCTGTTTAAGAGGTGCCCCATTCTCCTGATTTGACTTCTATCTTGACCTTTTTTAAATCTAGTTTTTATTTGAACCCAAACGAACATTCAGAGCTCTAAGACTTTCAAGCTACATGTGGCTTTTAGTGGAGCTAGTCTTCAATATTAGAGTAAATTATTATTAAATTTGGCCTTTTAGCTTGATGATGCTTATAGCATTCTCGTTGCAATAACTATTACCAGTGAAGATTTAAACGGTTTTATTTTGTTCATTTAGTCTAAAGTTAAAGATTTTTTAATGATTTGATTAATGTAGTTTTAACTTATCACTATTGTTTCTTTTTTAGCATCTTTCTCCTACTGGTGGGATAGTACTTCCATTTGCCACTAACTCCAACTTGTCCCCCTCCCCTGCCATCGTAATGGCAACTGCTGCCTCCAGTCCACCCGGTTCGCCGGTATCTCTTGACGCCACTACTTCATTGGCTAAACCTTTACTTTCTCATCAGTGCGAACCTCTTTTATCTGCTCTAAGCTCTTCCCGATTATCGACGTCCTATAAAATACGAAATAAAATTGCTATTCCGCCATCTGAATTCAGTTCTGTTATCGGACCGCCAAGAAATTTCAGCCAGTCAACGCACTCGTATCCTGATTCCCTTGTCCGGACTGACCAAATACCATTACATGCTCAGTCTTCAGAGCGATTGAGACCAAGTTAGTTACTACGATTAATTTTTTCTTTGCTTTTGGTTTTGGGATTTTACGTTTATTTATTATTCTTCGGCTGTACAACCTCTCTATCTCCATTCTATTTCATATTTACGTTTTAATGCTTCACTTTTATCTTGTTGCTTAGTTTCTTTTCTCTATTTGAAGTTCTTAGTTAATTTTACCTATATCAGACATTTTGTCACGCTTCTTTATTATATCTGCAGATACATGCATGCACGCGCACACATTCACGTATGTATTTTATTATGGATGCATATCGTAAAGAAATTACTGTCTTTTTACCTCTTTCTAGTCGAGCTGTTTCACGAGTATGTATTTAAAGTCTAGCAGTTCAGTTTCCTTAACCGGTAAGCTCGAGATTGACAGAAAGCCGCCCTTATTGCGATGATGTCT